ATGCCGTTATTACCGATATGCGCCTGTCTGACGGCAGCGGCCTAGATGTGCTGACCGAGCTGCAAAAAGTAGGACGCAACGAACGCGCCATTGTCATTACCGCCTACGGTTCGGCTGAAAATGCGGTTGAGGCACTCAAAGCGGGGGCCTTTGACTATATTGGCAAACCGGTTGACCTACAACAATTGCGTAACGTTCTGGCCGCGGCCATACATGAGCACCAATTACAGCTCCAATTACAAAACCAACTACACCTCCAATCACCAGACCAAGTGCCCGATAAAGCGCCCACTGTCGCACAAAACCTTCTTTCCCCCAGGGCCCAGCAGGCCTTAACGCGGATTGAAGGCAGCAGCCACGCGATTGTGCAGCTACGCCAACAAATCGCCAAGGCTGCCCGCGGTATGGCGCCTATTTTGATACGCGGAGAATCGGGTACCGGTAAAGAGCTCACGGCCTCCGCCATTCATGCCTGCAGCCAGCGGGCGCAAGGGCCTTTTGTCGCGGTGAACTGCGGCGCAATACCTGAAAACCTGCTGGAGGCCGAATTCTTTGGTGCCCGCAAGGGCTCTTACACCGGTGCAGGGCAGGATCGACCTGGCTATTTTCAGGCAGCCCACGGGGGCACCTTGTTCTTAGATGAAATTGGCGACTTACCCCTGGGTATGCAAGCCAAGCTGCTGCGCGCCATACAAGAGCGCTGCGTGCGCCCCTTAGGATCAACCAAAGAAGAAATGGTGGATGTGCGCATCGTCAGTGCGACCCACCACGACCTAGGGGCAGCAGTGCAAACGGGGCGTTTTCGCCAAGACCTTTACTACCGCCTCAACGTCATTGAATTATTGCTCCCCCCCCCTGCGCGAACGCCGCGAAGACATCCCCCAACTCGCAGCGGTACTGCTGGAGAAGATCGCTCGCGAATCGGGCCTAGAGTTACGCCCCCTCTCTCAAAATGCCCTGACCCTATTGATGGAGCACCCTCTCAGTGGCAATGTGCGCGAACTGGAAAACCTCTTACAACGCTCACTCGCTATGTCTGAAGGCAAACAGCTAGAAATGGAGCCGGACACTCCCCATTCGGAAAGCAGCCTGGGCTCTCTAGGCCCGTTAGAGTCGAACGCAGGCACTCAGCCTACCCACCTCCTCTTGCCCGAAACCCCCACAGAAACCATAAGCCCCTTTGCCCGCCTGCAAGCGCCGAACTCCAGCC